ATGGATGTAACAAAATCACGGAAAATAGGTCTATCCAGCTTTTCTATTATTTGACTATCCAAATTCACCCACAGCAGCAGTCATGAAACGTCAGAGGTTGCTATAGTTTTTGTTTGCTGTTCTATAGAGTTGTTGGGGGAGTCAAAATAACCTAGAAGTGCCTGTGTTCTAGTTGCTAGGCCTAAGGCCGTCCCTGTTTTGAAACTAACCTTAGTCACCCGTTTGCCATCTGTCGGGAATTCTAGACCAGATAGGACGCCTTTTGAGTCAATTTTGCGACAGCTATGGAAAACGCATGCTTATACTTGCACAGTTTTCTTCCTGTTTTCCCTTATCCATAGACTGCTTCGTTGGGCATGCGGACATGTTATCTCCATCTTTAATTGTCCCCAGACCACGCCAAAACACACTTCGGCTGATATCCCACTATAGTCGTCCAATATAATCATGGGACTGATGCATTTTTGTGGTGAAAATCGGATAGTTTGCTGTTTTCTATGTTTATGCGCTCTGCAATGCCAAATCTTGCGCTTCGATTGCGTTTAAAACCCCACGAAATATACCCATTTGGATGCAAAAGTTCACGAAAGTTTAGTATGGGTTGTGTACTCCAATTTTCTTGATTTTGATCTTTGTTTAGGTGCCTATGCCGTAGGTGTCGATAGTCGAAAATTGTTCGAGGCGGGCGAACCCTTGCAGCCACTGCAGCGGTTATACATATCGTCATATCTTCATCGGACACTATCTTGTGACGACGGTTTATCAGAAGTAAATTGACAGCTGTACATTAGCTTCTGAATGGATGACTGTCATCTGTCCTATCTTCAAAATTGACGACAGGAGTCTGTCAGCCAAGTATGGGCCAGTCAGGCTCACTAGCGTCGTGGTCAAACTGCTTGTAAAGCTGGTGAGAGATTCGTTGGAAGGTCACCTGAATGAACTTAATCTACTCAGTAGTGTACAACATGGATGCCCGAAGGAGTTTTGTGTCTGGCGCATTTTTTGTTGGTTGCCCGTGAAGTTTAGGCCGAGGCAATGAACAATGGTCCCGTAGTGGATGCGCTTTTCTTAGACTTCTCGAAAGCATTTGATAAGGTACCCCACTTGAGGCTATCACAAAGGCTGAGCTCCTACAACGTATCTGGCCGCGCCCTTCACTGGGTATCTGCGTTCTTGCAGGGAAGAGAGCAGTTTGTACGTGTGGGTCACAGCTTATCCTTTAGGCAATCGGTCAATGGCGGTGCCCCATAGGTCTCAGTCCTTAGACCGATACTATTCTCCATCTACGTAAATGAGCTCCCTGATGAGCTTGGATTATCATCCATATTGCTTGCTGATGACCTTAAGCTATGGAATGTTGTAAATTTTTCTGGGGTTCCGAAGTCACACAGCATGCCCTGGACAGACTCTAGGACTTGTCTACGTTTTGGCTGACCGCACTCTAATTCAGCTGTGTTCCGTCGTTCGAATAGGAGCAAGTTTTTCCTGGGGCCCTTTTTTTCGAGCTACGTACTCGGTGGGGTCGAAACTCCCCTAGTCTCCCAACACAGGTAGACCTAGGCGTTGTTCCTTCCTCCTCTTTGCCGCTGGGGACAACTAGAAGAACGCGGCTAGTTGGGGTTCAGCATGTTGTGAGTTAATACGCCGTTCTTTCGGGGTCTTAACTGCCGACATATTTGTGGAGCTGTTCTGAGCTCTTGTCCGGCCCCCCTCAGGAATACTGCGGCCAGGCTTTGCCGCCCTGCCATGTTCGGGACAAAATGGAGCGTGAGAGGGTTTTGTGAGTAGGTTACAAATTGGTGGTTGGCTTACGTGGGTCATCGTACCTCCAGCGTCAACTCAGCTTGCGTATGTAGTTCATACACTTACGACGGTTTTGAGGTGACCAAATCCTTACTTACCGCATTTTAACAGGGAAGGTTGGACCGAACTTGAGCTGGCTAATTGGCCCGGCTAGTTTGCCCTGTCGTCGCCGTCATCCCATGAAGCTACGCAAGCCGCGTTCTGACCAGCTCAGGGCGGAAACTCGGTGATCGCATAGAGTTATCTAGTGTTGGAACTGGCTTCCAGAAAGTGTAGTCAGTGAACCTACGGTTAAGGGTGTCGAGCGTCAGTTACACGCTTTTGGGTAGCAACACGTAACCTTTCCCTTCTCCTGACCATATCCATCTTCCAACTTTTAGTTCATATTCTGTCATTCTCTTCACTTTTTAGTGTTATAGATCATTTAAATGACTTTCATTCCCCTTTATCTTTCATTTACTTTCTACTGCTTTCTTACATCACGTAACCTAAACAGCCGGGATTGCTAGTGCAGGGAACGTGGGTAGTAATTTGTTGACCAGGGTGGTTTCGGATGTTTGTTTCAGATTTATCAAGGCCTAGAACGTTATCATTTCCTGGCTCATCGATTTACCCAAGATGGAACGTGCAAGGGAATTTCCTGTCGTTCCAGTCCAGCTGAACGTGCATCTAAATTTACTACGCGGTAACACGATTTTTTGGCGTGGCATCCTGAACGCGTTTCTTAGTTGAAATAATGTGGAAAACAGTGTTTGAATAAACACCTGAAATGAAATTTCATCACTGTCAAATTTCTTCTGATCCAAGTTAGCTTGGATGGACTAAAGTGGTACCGGCCAAAGTGTATCCCTGACGCTTACTCGTAATTTTGCAATTGTTCCATTTTAATCCTGTTTTACACCCTGTTTTGCCTTTTTATTGCGCTCGTTTTACGGTAGTATACGTGTTTTTAAATTCTGCTCTGTTTTCCACTTAAACATGGTCGTCTCGCGAAAAACCTAGACGGATGAACCGCTTGCGTCCTCGTTTGATGAGTCAAATGCAGCTTGCAGCAATTCTGCCTGTTCAAGGCCAGTTAAGAAATCATCTGGTGGCATGCAGCGTGATGTTTGCTCTCGTTGGTATCACAAAAGTTGTGCAGGCCTCCGAGGGAATCAGTACAATATGCTATCATCCAGTGAAAACTTTCTGTTTAGATGTGCTGATTGTTGCGATCAGAAAGCGAAGCTCCCGGCTTTCACCTGTGCTGAATTCAAAGCACTAGCATCCAGATTCACAGTTGTTGCGAAGGCATTAGCTGAGCTTGCCTCTCTTGCCTTGCTCAACTCTAAAGTGGATTAGATTATGAAATCCCTGAATATTGCGTATATGGACGGTGTAACGGACTGTCCTGCTGACAGTTCAACCGTTGACGAGGAGTACATCCTGCCGGGCGCTCCAGTTTACGTGGATATAACTGACGCAGATGCCACGGGCGGCATTTTTGACGTGCTCCAAAGGGGAGCTGATTCACAGGCTCCTGGGTCATTGAAGAATAAGCGCAAGGGGGAAAGGAATGCGCGCAAACCCTCCCCCCAAAATCGGGTAATAAATTGCTCAAGAAACAAGCGCCTGAGTTGGAAACACCACCTGGTGTTGCAGTTCCCTCATTGAGACAAGAGGTGCTATTGCCTTCGGTCCGACCGATTCCTGTCAAACAAACATGTGGCGTGGATGGTAGAGCACGTGAAGTAAATACACCTCGTCGATGCTGTACTAACGATACTAAGCCTAAACTATGTACGTCGTACAAAAACTAAAATAGAAACTACGAACAAATAAACCTAGACTTAACACACGGTCTGGACATAAGAATGAAACGACTTATCCTGTAACCGTGGTTCTATAAGGCATATTAAATACAATACATGAATTATGAATAGGTTTTGCAATCTTAATGCAAGTGGGCAGAAACGGTACAGCTTAAGGCAAAACGAGTATTTGGGCAGTGTCACAGTAACATAATCATATGAATGACCTTGAAACGTCAAGGATGTGTCAGTGATGGAGTGAAAGGAAAAAAAGCGATATGTTAACCGCCTGTTGGGCACAGTAAAACAGTGCAAATGGGCAAGGTAATTAGGGTATACTGATACCGTGTCCTTATGTAAGCAATCCAGGTTTGAGGAACCTCAAAATTCCTTTTGGACTTTACAGAGGCGGTTCTTACACAGCAGTGTGATTTTCAGAAACGTCACTGAATACACTGCCGCTCTTCCCACCTAGCGCATGCTTGATGATCTTGGTTGGCTTAAAG